TTTCTTGAGAGCACTAGTTTTTATTAAAAAAAAAAAATGAAACAAACCAAAGGTCAAAGTGCCTCTCAACTCCCCACGTCGCCTTTCGAGTGACCATGTTTGGGGGACCACCTGGTTTCCCATTGGGCTCTCTCTTCAGATACCCCAGCTGCTTCCTCCGCGATTGTCGACTTTTAAAGGATTAGCAACGTCAAAGGTCACGGCGAGCGATTGACACAAAGGACGGTTCGCCACGTGGCCGACGGCGAATGCAGCAGCGGAGGGGGACAGGTTTTTGTTGACTTTCGCGTATCCCCCAGTGGCGCTGTCACCGTAGTTCCCGTAACGGCCACACGCGGCTTCAGATCAGCAAATAGTTAGCTTTTTTTCTTTGCAACTACGCAGCGGAATAGCAGTTTATTGAATCAAGGTGACACGTTTTTGGTCACTTGTGCTTGGATAACCAATATCAAAAATACAAACTGCCAACTCTTTGAACATTAATATCGTTGCACTACCCATCTAACGGTGAAAATGTTTGACCAGAGGGAAATTGGCGACTCCCTCATGGAAAAGGGGGGGGGGGGGGGGGGGGGGAGAGGCAGGGGGGTGATGTTTTTTCATTTTTTTTTTCCGATCCCCCAAAAGTAATCCTGGTGATAGTTAGGGGGAGAAAATTGGCTTAGAAGGGAGGGAGGAATCATGTTTGTCTTTTTAGACTTATAGCCTCGTCCCCCTAGAGCGACAAACGCAGATTTTTGTCTGGAAACACCACAAAGTTACGTGAAGCGGATGCTGTCCCACTGTAACAGCCAACACTTGCGACAAACAGGTTCCTGCTTGTCCTTGAACTTGAAGCGCCGCAAGCAGTCCCACCGAGGAACATCTCTCAAAGACAAACTTATCCTCTTCACCCACTTGTAACCTCGGCTGCCTCTCTTCCTTCCCTTTTACCCTTCCTACCGTAGCTTGCCTCACCGTTTGACCTTCAGAGAAGGCCCTGGCGGCCACTGATTGTTCCCGCAGTTCCAGTTCCTCGATTGCTCGTAGGGGTCGTGGCTTGCTCGCTGGCGGCCTTGTTGCGAAAGAATTTGCTGCGACTGGTTTTGCTCGCGAAAACCTGGGGTGCGAGATGGTGCTTCAATACAGTGTTGCGGAATGGGCACACCAATTCCATTCCAATTCCATTCCGGGGAATTAGTTTTCGGTAAGTCAATTCCTTCTCCTAGGAATGGGGACACTGGGCCCATTCCCACTCCTGGAATGGCTGAATCGTTCCATTCCATTCCTCTAATTCTTAAACGTAAAAATTGACACTTGGCAGCTGCATTGCGTTGCAGGGTTGGGCAGAAATAGTAAAAAAATGTATTTGAAAATAGAAATACTGGGATAGAGGAAAATAGTAGCTAAAATACTGATACTCAAATATATCTGTAAAAATGTATCGTGATACATATCGGAAATACATTTTAAAGAGTCAAAACGTCTTTGGAAAATCAAATACAGGAATACATTTTAGAGAGGGCAGATATATAAATACTGATAATGCAATACATTCTTCAAATTTCCTTGAGACGCCAACTGAGATGAAGCTTTAAGTTTGATGGAAGATTTTTCTTGTTTTTTTTTTTATCCCAAAATTACCTTCCCGCAGGCTTGGCGCTTCGCCTTGAAGGTAGTGGTTCCGGACGAAGAGGAGTCTTCAATGGGTTCAAAAAACTTTCCATCAAGGATTGACCGCGGCCCCTTCCCTAGCATCCTGTCTGCCTGACCAGTGATGCGAAAAGACTTCGACCTCTAAATAAATTCCATCAAAACATCATCACTTCCCTGTCCAATAAGGGCGTTCCTGTCAACACTGATAAGATGATGTCACGGCGGAGTGAACTAGTATTCTTGTATCTGTAGGTGTTGCCTTGAACTTGAAACTTTACCCACGCTGCTGTATGAAAGGACGATGCATACTTTCGTTGTAGGTGACCTCGTTGAAGACTATGCAGGCAGTTGCATTTGGAATTTTCGAGAATAGGGTGGACCACCTGAAGCATCCTGGAGCACATGTCTTATCTTCTGTTACGGTTGATAAAACAATACGGTGGCATTTGCAGATCTCTTGCTGTTCGTGTAACATTTCGGTCCGCGAGAGACAACTTCAGCTGGGAATTAATAGTCTGATGAGGTGGGCTGATGCCAATGGGTTTAGTTTTTCACCAGAGAAGTCAGTATGTGTCAACTTTTCTTTACGTAGGGGCATGATCCTAGAGCCTAGTCTGACCTTAAGGGGGCAGGCAATTCCTGTTCATAATGAACACAAGTTTCTAGGAGTGATATTTGATAAAAAGCTGAATTTCCGTAGTTATGTACTTTACCTGAAACAGAAATGCTCAAGGTCAATGAACCTCCTAAAGGTGCTTTCACACAAGTCTTGGGGTAGCGATCGGGAATGTCTCCTTCGTCTCTAACACTGCTTGGTTCTTTCAAAATTGGATTATGGATGTGTAGTGTATGGATCCGCACGTCAATCTACGCTTCAGGTGTTGGACCCGATCCACCATCAAGGTCTGAGGCTTTCCACTGGTGCTTTTCGGACGTCCCCTATTCCTAGCCTATATGCTGAGAGTAATGAATATTCACTTGAAAAAAGACGGTTTTATTTAGGCTTCCAGTATGCATTAAGAATTCGCTCTGTCCCTTCTCATCCGATCCAGGAAGCAATTCAGGATTCTCGCTATGAAACTACATTCCAGAACAAGCCATCTGTCGTACCCCCTTTTACGCAGAGAATTAAAAGATATTCACAGGCTTACGACCTTGACAGTTTCAGCCTAGTTGCCCAACTTCCACTGGCAGTGGCTCCTTGGGAGTGCGTAGCACCCATAATTAATTTTACTCTGATCAAATATAATAAGCGGCAAACTCCTGTTGCTGCCCTGCAGCAGGAGTTTTCCCAGGTTGCTTATGCGTACAGTGACTGTAGGAGTTTCTTCACAGATGGTACTAAGAGTGACTCTGCTGTTGGTTGTGCTGTTATAAGCGAGACATGGAAGGTTGTTAGGCGTCTTGATGCCAGAGCCTCAATATTTACTGCAGAATTATATGCTTTAATTTTAGCTGTTGAATTCATTATAGAAAACGCTATCCAGCATTCTGTCATCTACTCTGATTCTCTCAGCGCTTTAAAGGCACTTGTTTCTTTGGAAGTACCAAAGAATACCTTCGTTACTAGGCTCCGGAACATTGTGCACACTGCAGCAAAATCAGATTTACACATCAATTTCTGTTGGGCGCCTAGTCACGTCGGTATTCAGGGAAATGAGGATGCTGATAGAGCTGCCAGTACGTGCATTGAGAGGCAAGTGGATATCAAGGACATTCCGTACACTGATTACAAACACAGTCTTAAAAAAGCAATCCAGAAAAAGTGGCAGTTAGAATGGGACACGGAAATACACAACAAGCTTCATTGTGTGAAACCTACCCTGCGGGAATGGGCAAGTTTCCGACACAGGGAGCGCTTCTTTGAGGTTGTGCTCTGTCGTCTGAGACTGGGACACACCCATCTCACGCATGGGTACCTCCTACGGGCAGAGGCAGCTCCGAAATGTGAACACTGTAACGAGTCCTTGAGCGTCTTGCATATCCTTATCGTATGTCCCAAGTACCATCACGAACGCACTACTTTTTTCTCTACCTTTTTCCGGAATCGCGTCCCGTTCCACCCGGCAATATTGTTGGGTGACGAACCTCTTGTGCCGCACCGTCAAGTTTTTAAGTTTTTAGATCGCATGGGCATCCTACATCGGCTATGAAATTTAGTTTGTTTTCTTTTCTATTACATTTACCTGAAAATTAGTGGTGGCAGAGAGCCGGCGATCTTGTATCGTCGGCACATTTTCCATACTTCCTTGCGTGAATGAAATTCCTTTAGAGTGCCTCTGGTTAGTGGAGCATTGGTTAAAATTTCTGGAGGCCTTAATAGGCCTGCATCTTGTAAGGTTCTAATCATTCATTTTCCATAGTTTTAAGATGGAACTACCTACTATAGGTCTTTTCAGTATTGCCTTTAACTTACCTTGTGTTTGGCACACTATGGCCTTAGTTGCCGCTGTGCCATTAAACACCTAAGTTTCTTCTTCTTCTTCTTAATACGGTGGCATCCCTGTTGTGAAGGTCCTACCTGCCGACCTTCTGCCTCTAACGCATGAATGGCAGTCCTCAAGTTTCGGTTAGCATCATCCAAACAGAGACCTGTGAATTGCGACCCGAGATGGCCGGCACAGGTGCGAGCTCTCCTAGAAACAGCGCGCTCGAGACGAGTCGCAGGAGTACGAAGTCTGGGTCGGCACAGCGAGGCCACGTCTGGCCTCCTTCCTGGGTATCGGATCACCAGAGTAGCGGGTCAAGTTCACCTTGACTGATGACGTACCCTTGAGCCGTGCAACAGGTGCAGACGCATTCGAGTTTGTGTTGAACTTCACTGGTGAAAGGCGCCACCGCCGCTTCCTTCCCTCCCCCTTTGTTCTTTGCTTTGACCCTTGTTCTTTTGTATTGCACTTTGTTTTTGCGTATAAGTCGGCTAGGGCTCCACGCGGGTTTGCAGCTTCCCACTCATTTTATTTCTGAACAACTGACTCGCCGACTAACTGAGTATAGCTAAACGTACAAAAAAAAAAAAATATATATATAAAGAACCGGGCCCATTCTATTCCGGGCAAAAGGCATCTAATTCCATTCCCATTCCAATGATTTCATATTAAGAATAACTTAAAAATTGTCAAGATTTTGCATCGTGACCAGAAACGTGCCGAGTGTTCTTCAGATACACTAGAAAAAAAAACCCGATAACTACGCAAACATATCTCATCTGGTCAAATTGCTCAATCACAATGCTTGCACGCAACCTACTGTCTCATGGAAGCAGTTCACCAAATGACAAGGCCAAAAAGTTCTCCCATTCTTGATACTGTGACCTCCGCTCGAAATCGGGATGCCGATTCAAACACCTTTGCTCTAATCTCTAAAATGACAAACAACTTTATTGAAAATAAAAACAAACATTAAAAGTCATATGCTGAAATACACGAGAAAAAAAAAAAGGAAAAAGTGTCCAAACTTTAGGTGCAATACGAGAACAGACAAATACGACACCAATCCGCAGAAAACTTTATGTGGAGCGGGTCGCACACTTCCGTACGCGTGTCCGTTAACGTTGCAAACGCAACTTTGTCATTGAAAAGCAAAAAGCACGAGTTCACAGTTAAAACACTAAAAAGGCGCGAGGAAGAGAGTGAGAATGTTCACGAGTGAACGACTTTGTCCACACACAACGGCGGACGCAAGAAACCGGAACGCGATTGAACCTGCGAGGCGGCGCTTTCCTGCCTCTTGGGCCCGCGACTGCACATTCGTCCCCGAGCCGACAGTGTGGCGACAAACTTCCACTGCACTGTCAGCTTGGGGGCGAACAGAGTGTTGGAAATGCAACGATGAGAAGAAAACTATTTACAATGTCGGCGAAACGAAGCTATGTACACAGCATTGTTGGCGTCTGAAGGAAGTGGGCGGCTTCAGAAGGCCGTGGCGAGGGTGGCGCCAAAGGCCTTGAGGAGGTTCTGGAGGAAAATCATGTCTGGCCTCATCAGGGTCTTTTTCTTGGCGTGGAGGGAGCACAGGTAACTCGCCGACAGGAAGTTCGTCACGAAGTCTTCCGACGCGTCCTGGAAAAGAGGTGATGCCCGTCAAACGCCGACGAATCGAGTCGACATGTTAGAACTCGGACAGTGCCACAATTTTAATGTCGAAAAATTTACGGCTCGCATTTTTTACATTGTTTCTATTGGCAATAGAGGAGAAAATGTGCCACCTTCATTCAAAATGCTACAAATTTGCTGCATACGGTAGAATCTCGATGATACGACGACGGTTCGTCCGAATTTCGGTACGAAACAGATTTTTCGAAATTCCCGGCCGAAGTTTGTTAAGACTAATATATTACGTTTCGGGATAGTCCGAATGCCTTCTCGGCCGCGGTGGATCATGTGAACGATCGTCAACAACGTTTACACATCCTGTGGGGCGGCATCACTTGGCTCCTACGACTGTAGCAGGCTTTTTGAGTCACTTTTCTCGCCGTTCTTTCTATATACGCGCCATGCAATCCCGATAACCGTAGGTGCGTTCCAAAATTGGAAAACATACCCACATCCAGGGCTGCTCTGTGTTGTCGCGTGATGAGAATTTGACTCGCTGGAGTAACTCGTGTTTGCTTACTCAAGAGTTGCTGCTTTATATTTATTGTCACGCGATAAATGGGTTTCAGCAACTCTGACAGACTGGAGTGAACGTGCGAAATGATGTTTGGAATTGACGTTGATCGTGGAATCAACGCTTATCTAACGGATTTCGCAAGTGTGAATTCAGAAATCCTACAGTGGCTGCTCCTCCGGAACCAGAGGAAAACTTGAGAATTGAGGACTGAGACCTGCTTTGTGCTGAGAAATCGGCCTTTGATTTCATTACCGCAGATGACAGCCTCGCTACTTGCGGATTAAGGACTGCCGAGGCAATCATTGACGAAGTGATGGCACTGCAAGGACGGTCAAGTAGTGGAGATAATGACGGCGACGTAACTAATGACAAGCAGCCACCAATGACTGCTGAAACACTGCATGCCCTTGATGAGCTGCGCCGCATAGTGAGCCCGAGATCAAGGTCAGCGACGGCAGGTACGCTCGTTCTTCCATGTGTCAAAAGTGACGTTTGGGTGGCATTGAAAAAAAAAGACTCGGAAGAACATTACCGACTTCTTTAGATGGGGGTGTGACCAATGAATGGCACGTACAGCCGCCCCTTTGCTTTTACGTAATTAGGCGACTTGTTTTTTGTTAGTATGAATTTTGGATGATACAAAAATTTCCTGCGATCCCTCGAGATTCATATCATCAATATTCTACTGCAATTGCAAAAAAACAACACCATATTTTTTTTAATTTGCAGTCTTGTGTGGTTGTCATCGGAACTATGGCGTGACCTTTTCCGCGGCGCCATCTATCGGAAATAAAGGAAACCGTTTCCTCTCCTTTGCTACCTTCAACGTCTTTCCCCGCGGCAAGCCGTCCCACCTAGATCCCTCGACGATGGGAAGCGTGACCTTGAAAAGTCGACCAACGTGCAGGGAAGGCTGCTGGTTCCAAAGGCGACACTGAACCTCAGTCGATACACTTCTACTTGTTCAATCTCTTTGTAGATTAAAAACTAGCGCACGCAAGAAAGAAAGGGTTCCCGCTCCTCGTATTATGGGTGGCCTCGACTAATTCCCACAATTACTTGGCCAAAGTTAGAAAATCGTTGCACCGCCTCTTTAAAGGAGAGACACTGCTCTTTCATGTAATGGAGGACCGGCGGTCGGGTCTGTTAGTGCACTGCGGCTCAGAGAGCGTAGAGCGCAAGCTCGCACAGCAAGACCCAAGGTTCCTGGCTCTTGTGATCCTCCCCACTCCTGCCCGTTTCGATCTGGACGAGCATCCTACCGGCGTGCGGTTGTGTTTCGCCAAGCGGCGCATGCCGAAGACCCAAGGCTAGCAGTGGTACCGACTAAATAGGCCACGTAGGTCGATTCAGTCACAGGCCTACCTGACCTACAAGTGAATAGGTATGTACATATTGACGAAAAAAAGGACTACCGTAAAATCCGGAGAGATGATCCACCCGAGAAAGGTAACCCACTCCCATTTCTGGCTCGAGGTGCTATTCGATTTGAAACACCGAAAAATAGCCCACTCCTAGCAATCATAGTTTCGGATCAATGATGACCGTGGCGCAAATGCGTCTAGTTAGCTATGGCGAGATATAAGCGAACACTGCTGATTGGAAAGTACAGTCATCTTTGCTTCATTGCCCCTTGCTGCGATAACTTTGACAAGGACACACTATCTAAAAATAGCATTTTTTCAACTTGCCTCGACTGCACACCAAAAGTTAGCCCACCCTTCAATTTCACCCAATTTTCTAACTATTTTAGGTGGGCTATCTCTCAGGACTTTACGGTATGTGGGCCAACGTCGACGGACAGACGACGCGGGTCGTTGCCGACGGGGCGCCAGGACGAGGACCGAAAGACGAGGCAGGCCCACCTGTAGCGCCAGCAAGGCGAGCCCCTGCATGTAGTAGCGGTCGGAGCGACTGGGGGCCAAACCCTGCAGTATCTCCGTCACCACCCGCGGAAACGACAGCCGCGGAATGAGGAGCCGCGTGGTCCTCTGGAGGTGACGGATGTTCTTCAGCCAAGGTGGGGCACGAAGCTTCGGCCTCCCATTGCCCTGGGCAGAAGAGGAGTGGCAACCGCGCTGATTAGCTCCCGCCGATTGGCCTCCACCGGGCTAAAGTGTCAACCGCCATTTTTAAAAAGAAAGCTGATGGCGACTTTTTTTTTTCTTTTCTTCTAAAGTCTTACGCTGCATGAAATGCGGTATTTCAGGAGCGGTCGTCTAGATTTGCTTAGGAGACACTTAACGGTCGTCTCGGAAAGAAGCTATACATTTATTAATTTTACCGCTAAACTTGGAGGGAAATGCACCGATGGGCAGACGTATGGGCGAAATCTTGCGATTGGTGGAGCTCCGTTAAAAAGCATTTCGCACCTTCAAAAAAAGAACTCTAGCGATTTCTGCAGTTAGGCAAATCAATACCAAATAAACACAAAAAAAAAAAGCTCTTTTTACATTGTTGTGCCAAAGGCAGACTTAAAACAGAATGCACTGCATACTGCTTGGCACTGACACTGCAGGGAGGAACTCTGCACGTGTCTTACGCCTCGACGGCACGAATGTTGTCGTGCACTACGTCTCTGCAAGAGAGCCCCGCCAAAAGCCGAGTAAGCTCTGCCCGCGCACCGAAATTGGTCTTGAAGTGGCAATGAACACACCGCCGCTGGGACACCGCCCTTCTGCGATGCCATCGGGCGGAAATCGAGGGACCATTTTTCTTGCGACGCGGTAAATGCGCCGATCGGGCAACTGTTTTGGACGCCCTGGTGGAAGTAAAATGCGAAGTTTGTGCACGCAATCGAGAACTAAAAGTTACCCGTCTGCTACAATCTCTTAAAATTATGCGATTTCTTGTTTGTTTCAGCAGTATTTATGGTCCGTGGCGGGCCGTAGCTGAAAACAGTTCCGAGATAACAAAATTAACTTCTTTAGGAAAAGGGGATTCTTAAAAACCCTTACATTTATTGATTTTTCGGGAACATCGAGACAATGTCTACGGGGTGTCCCAGATTACTTGCATCAAACTTTAAAAAAAGCAAATGGAGTCCTCCAGGGAAGTAAAACAAACTGTACGTCGTTAGCAAGAGTCTTAACATTGTTGCCACATTTTTCTCAATCTGCCAAATTATTCGGTCGATTAAGACCAATTAGCAAACTTCAGTTATTCCTTTAAGGGCCGAGTTGTGAATTGGAAAGCACCCCGTTTCTTTCTTTTACGATTTGGTGCAAGTCATCCCAGACGCCTGAAATATATATCTTTTAACCTGTTTACAATTCACGCACTAAATACTTCCAAATGGCATTCACTTACACCTACACAACGACGCGTTTGATTGCAGGGTGCCCCACACACCGTACAAAAATCACAGGAAGTTGCATCTCTCCATTGTAACCATTACACCCGCTCTTGCCGGGTGCCATTAATGATGCCCGCGAGACGGCCGGGGAAACGTCGCTACTCGTGAGCTACGCTCTTTCGGCGGCTTCGGCGCCCGCGTCCGACGGTTTCAAGATGGCGGCACCTGTGCAACCGGGTGGGTAAAGACGGGAGCAGAGCACGAAAAATCGTGAGCGCCGACTTTGTTGGTCCCGAGAAAAGGGACGATAAAGACGGCGGCAGAAAAGAGGGGAGAGAAAGTAGACGGAGGGTTAGCCGTGTCCTTTTTTCTGCAGCGACTGGAGGTTGTTAGAGCTCTGGTCGACTTTGTTTTCGTGGCATAAACGCTGACTTTTTTTTTTTGCATGGCAGGTTTGAAAAGAAGGCAGCTCCGACCTCACGGGCGACATTCTGCCGCTTCTCCGCGTACAGTAAGGAGCTGCCGGCTACACGGGCTTGTCGTAGTGGTGCAAAACTATCGATAGTCTCCAGAAATTTGACTATCGATAGTAAAAAAACTATCGATAGTACTATCGATAGTCGACTATAGAAAAACTATCGATAGTACTATCGATAGTCGACTATCGAAAAACTATCGATAGTACTGTTCATAGTCGACTATCGGAAAATTATTGTTCATCGACTATCGGAAAACTATCGATAGTCGACTATCGTCAATCTATCGATAGTACTTTCGACAGTTTACTATCGATAGTTTTACGACACTAGTAGTTTCCGTCATTCCCTCTTCTCTTTTTCTCGCTTTACTTTTTCAAATGGGACACCAACTAGCCCAAGCACTTACCATCCCAACTTTGGTTCAGTTTTCAGTGATGACGGAGACAGGATTTTGGGCGAAGAGAGGAGGAAGGGAGGCGAGCGGCGGTACGGCAACTGTGTTCGCTCTAGTGGTACAAAACTATCGATAGTACTATCGATAGTCTCCATAGCCGCCAAAAATCTGACTACCGATAGTAAAAAAACTACCGATAGTACTACCGATAGTCGACTATCGAAAAACTATTGATAGTACTACCGATAGTCGACTATCGAAAAACCATCAATAGTACTACCGATAGTCGAAAAACTATCGATAGTACTATTGATAGTCGACTATCGAAAAACTATCGATAGTACTATCGGTAGTCGACTATCGATAAACTATCGATAGTACTATCGATAGTCGACTATTGATAGTTCTGCGATACTATCAATAGTTTTTCCAAAACTATCAATAGTATCGATAGTCGATTTATCGATAGTTTTGCATCACTAGCTTGTCGGCACCTTACTCCGGTAAGTCCGGGTCTGCGCCGCCCCGCCGTACTGAAGCGGCCGGGATGCGTGGGACCTTTTTTTCCTTCTCTTGGCACATCTAGTTCAGCGGCTTTAGTGGCCGTATTTTTCAAGATGGCGGCACCCACGCGAAGGCTGCGAGGAAAGGGCCACTTACCCTCCTGGGAGAGGTAGACTTTCGCCTCCTGCCGGGTCCCTTTGATGCCGAAGGCTCCGGTGCCGGTGGCTCTGGAGCTCGGCGTGCCGCCGCCGATGGCTGTGCGGGAGCTTGGCGCGCCGGGGTCGGCGGACGTCTTTCTGGCGTGGGTTTGGCTCCTAAAGAGAGGTTAAGGTAAGTAAGAAAAACCCAAAAACCTAAAAACAAAAACAAAATAATAAAAGATAAAGATAAAGAGTTTTTTCTTTTAATGTTTTGTTTGAGGTAAGGCAGTCTCGCAAATCCATGTTCGGGAACTGTTTTGGCATGAATTGACAAACGACATAAGCTAAGGCCCCGGCAAGCCAACAGGGGCCTTAACCTGGACACTTGGAGAAAGAGTCGGCAAGAAATCCTGCGGTCGTTATTGGTCAACGTCGCACTTGACCTTGGGACTGCCCAATCACAGCCGCCAGATTTCTCGCCGACTTTTTCGTCGAGTGTCCAGATCAGGGCCCCTGGAATGTCTGACCGAGGCAAGTGACAACGCACTGTCGATGCACACTCACTCCGACCTTGCCAGTGGCTCAGTGGCTGCGGAGAGTCAGATGCAGTCGCCGAAGGCTACGAAGGAATCCTTCCTGGCCGGTACATATTTACATCTTTAACCCTATAGAAACGAAAAAAAAAGAAAAAACCTCGATATAATTTGATCTCACAGGATAGATTTGGCTTACGCAGAATTTAGTGGACGGCACGCGTGTGACAGTTGCTTCGTTCGATCTACCCGCACCTTCTTCATTGGTGCAGAAACGTGTGAGGGAGTGCACTTTTGGTCGTATCTCGACACACATGCCGGAAGTACACCGCCCTGCACTTTTTTGCATTGGTGCGGGAAAATCGAACGAAGCTACGGCGACTTCACGCGGCACCGTGACGACGCATTTGGAATGCGTACCGCGCCGGTGTGTTTGGCGTCCCGTCCCGCCCATGCACCGAAAGCAGTCTCCAAGTGGCGACGAATGACAACAGAAAAGCTCCGCACGTCGTTAGGGCGTACTAGAACCGGGAGGTGTGCCGACTGCGTCGGCCTCTCCGTAGGAGCTGGGCATCGTGCGACTCAATTCGGCAGCAATGCCTGGTCGCGTTTTCAATGAAAAAAAAAAAAAAACCCCACAGCGCGGCTGCACTTTTGCGTTTCGAGACAAACCTTGGCGCCCCCCTTTCGGGCTGCAAGCCGACCCGTCGTAACCCGCGACCACCAACCTGCTGAATGGCGCTGGACGCTGGACGCAGAAAACGGGGGCCCCTCGTCGTCCATGGAAGACTCCGGAGATGGTTCTTGTTCCGCCTGCCGGGGTCGTTCCTCCGACGACTTCGCGCTGAAACTCCTCGAGGTCGCGGGATGGCGCCCGGCACCCGAAGCCGACGCCTCGGGAACTATGGAATGGAATGGGAACAATGAAAAGGGAATAACTCTATGGCAATCGCTCGCGACACACCGAATCCCCGCCAAACTAATAAGCGAAAAAGATTTCCCGCTAAATTAAGCGAGCCACACGTGCGGGGAGCACACGTGGGGTCCGCCACGAAACTTTGCGAACGGTGGCCGTCGCCGTAAAAATGGTCTTAAGACTCTGCAACAATCTGAACGAACTAAAGCCTGGTTCACGCGCTTGCATTTGCTTATGAAGAGTACTTGTGATAACTTACGACTAATAGATACCTTGGCGACATCTACGAGGTGGCCCTGGAACTTTCTTTCACTAGAGCAAAGGTTTTTTTTACCTACGTCATTTACTTACGTCAGCCAACTTGCCCCGTCGTATTTTGTTTAAGAAAGCTCTCGTTCTCGACGCCTCACCAAGGCTGATATCTAATCCACCTATAATGACAATCCAAATCGAAAGTCCCAGTGCTGGATATTCAAACAGGCTAGTTTTAAGCCGCACCCTTTGAGTGGTTCACGCATAATACCATGCTCAAACGGATCAAGCTTCTGCTCGGAGAGCATCATCAGTTTTCTTCAGTGTAAACGGTTATAAGAATTGAAAGATCGCAACCAGCTGTTTTGCAGACAGCTGGTTGCGGAAATTTACGCCGTCTGTAACTATCTCTACGGCAGCCGAGCTGCTTGAAGTCATCGCAACTATAAACTACAGGTTGCAGCGACCAACGTTTGTAGATAAACGTTGGTAGCGACTGCATTCTCGCATTCCCACGCATCACTCCGAACAGAAAGGCCATAGTTTCGGTTTGAAGTCAGTACCTTTTCTACAACATAGATGGCGGCAGCATCAGTCTTCTGCACTCGGTGCATTTGGCGAGTTCGTTTGAGTCCAGTTTTCCATGCAACACTCTGTGAGTGCGATGCATTCTGGGAGAGAACTTGAACGGTGCCAGTGCGTGTGAAACAAACTCGCTAATAGATACTACAGGTGCCCAGTGTCATTTCTTTTTTTGACAATATTAAGCTTAGCTGGACTTTGGCTCATAGAGAAATGTTTGTTTTTTTCAATAATCTTTTGATCCAAGCGACGTCACGTTGTCAAACTTTTGCATTCTATCCCAAAAGCCACAGTCACATTGTCACGAAGTTTGAGCTTTCTGCGATGCTTAGTTTATCTACCCAAGCCGAAAAACGTGGTTCTTGTTTCTAGGGAACTCCCTGTACTTTACTTCAAGCATGTTGTGCTTGGTGTACTCCCCAGTGTTGCCAGATTGGGCTATATATAGCCAAATTGGGCTACATTTTTTTCTAGTTGGCGTCGAAATTTCGCCTTTGGCTATGTGGCTATTTTTGGGCTATTTCTAAGGGTGCGGCGAACTCTTGTCGAACTTTGAGGTTCGACTAGTTAATTTTGGAACTTCTAGTCAGTTTTGAAAAAAAAATTGTTTCTCTTTTGGCTAGTTGAGAGGAAAGAAAGGAAGGAGAATGGCTTCAAACTTCTACAAACTTCGGGGTTTTCACAATGCGCAGAGAAGCAGTGCTAGCAGAGTTCAAGCGGTCTCCCCACAGCGCAGTGAAGCAAATCAAACAAACAAATTGCACTGTTTTTACAGGTCCGGTAGCGCGTCTTCTACCCGGACGTAGACTGGACTCTCCAAACGCAGCTTTGGTGCTCATTGCGAAAGTTCTTAGGCATCGCCAACTTTAATAAAAGAAACATAATTAAAAAATAGCTTGAACCGGAACGGGGGACGCTCATATTCTACACAAAGAAAAATAGACGGGTGGGTTATTGGTAAGAACCTTAGATATAGCGGGTGCTAGTTTAAAACTCCCAGTTCTGACTGTTCTGCTTCTACATTCTGTTCTTTTACTGTATGATTATATCTACCGGGCTTCACAATACAGCTCATGTATGTTTTCTATTTCTGAAAACCTACGAAGGATGGGTAATTGTTTCACAAATTTTCATCCTTCTGACGCTTTTCTTTATATATATATATATCAGGGGACCTAATGTACACAAAAAGTGGCGCATCTGAGGGTTGAAAAAGAGAATTTAACGTGTTGTTTTTTATGCGTATGAAAAATTGTCAATAAAAGGCTTAAAAATCGTTGTTTTTAGTCTTGGCTATTTTGGGCTATATTTATTTTATGGCTTTGGCTATATTTGGGCTATACCTCCCAGCCGTTTGGCGGTTTTTTGTTGGGACCATCTGGCAACACTGGTACTCCCTGCTTTACTTGAAGTACATAACATCCAACTTACTTTTTTACGTAAAGTACTTTTTAGATGTACTTTACCAAACACTGATTATCTATTAGAAATGGCCGCATATAACGGAGTCAAAACTTTTCAAAGCGAGCGTAGAACGAATGTCGCCGTCAGAGCCATGATGTTGAGAGTTCGGGCATTCATTGGTAAGAATAGGGCGAAAATGAAAGCACGTCATTGGCCGAAATCGGTTCAATGGCCTTGGACGCGTTGATTGACAGCATTTGTGACCAACCACCAGTCACGAATATTCCTCTAGCGGAGGCAATGAGCTTAGCCTATATCCTTCAATCACAATTTCTGGGTAAGGATGTATTTGAGTATTTCAGTCCAGCATGCTAGAGTTGAAGTTTGCGACTCTTCGCAACCGAAAAGGCAATGCACGCGACATTTAGAATGCACTTCATCTTTCTTTTGGTTGCAGACACAGCCGTGGCCGAGTGGACGGGGAAGATTGTAGACACGGCTTCGTGGCAATTTGGAACCCAACCCCGAACGCGCACCCCACATTTGCAGTTACGCCTCGTGTTTCAGGAAATTTTTCTCGTCAATGTCACCTTTTCTGGCTCATTTAACAGCACTCAGCACCCTGAAACTCCCTATTTGCATCAATCTCTTACCATTATTTATTCATGCACTCTCAGCATCATCCGGAAACTAAAAAATACCTGTGCCACGATACGTGCCTCCTTCAAGAATAACTCCGGTTCTTTTTATTTCGCAGAATCATCACGGGGCACCGCTTTCGCCGCTCCGCCTGGTTTCCGTCAGCTCCTCCCATTGACCAAACTATCTCTATGTACAGCCCTGCTCGTCGTAAGAGATCACAAGAACTCATTCTTAAGCAAATGCAAGTGTGCAGACCAGCCTTAAAGAGCCACTAAAGTGGATTTCGAGACTGTCGTTTAATACTGCGAAACCAACACATGCGCACTATGGGCATGTTCAAAACCCAAAATTGTCATCGTGCACAACAATTCTTTTTTCACCATTAAAAGAGCAACCAAATGTCCCGAAACACCCCTCTTACGAGACATCTTGGAAAAGGGGCGCGCCGCAATGCCCGTTCGCGTTTTCAACAAAGAAAGAGGCCACGCACGGCTGTACTCTTGTGTTTCGAGACAAACCTTAGTGTCCCCCTTTCGGGCTGCAAGCCGACCCGTCCTAACCCGCGACGACCCACCTGCAGAACGTAGCTGGACGCTGGATGCAGACACCGCGGGCCCCTCGTCGTCCCCGGAAGACTGTGGAGACGGTTCTCGTCCCACCTGCCGAGGTCGTTCCGCTGACGACCTCGCGCCGAAACTCCTCGGGGTCGAGGGACGGCGACCGACGCCCGAAGTCGACGCCTCGGGAACGTCTGCCCTCTTTGAAGATTCCGAGGGCTCGTGCTGTGCGTGGACAGAACGCGCCACGGACGACCTTGCGGCAGAGCCCCTCAGAGTTGTGGGCTTGCGGCTGCTCGGCGTGCTCCTGCGGAAATGGGGACCAAAGGCGATGGTTGGGACTTGCACGACATGCGTCGAACACAAATGGTTATCGCTCCGGTTCGGGGAATCTTAGGGTAAAGTTGGTTTACACAGAACACATTCCCGTGGCATTCTTTGCAACTCGTAACAAACTTTGCAGTTATTAAAAAAAATTTTTTTTCTCGGCAGTTTGATATTTTAAGTTCCAGGGAATGAAGCCAGCCGTCGGATGGCCAACACAAAAAGCTTTTCATCTATACTCCATCTGACTAAAACCGTGCAGTACAGCCAAGGCTACAAAGAAGAGAGTATCCCTACCTGTTGAAAAGGAGGGAAAGGAGGAAAGGGCGAACCCCAGCCCTTCTCTACCGTTCTTCCTTTCCCTCCTCTTGAACAGGTTGGCATACTCTCTTCCTTTTAGCCTTGGCTGTACTGCACGGTTTTAGTGAGTACAATGTTAGGCGCTGGAGAAAATCGGCCATCTGCCGGAAGTCCTGGTTTTACTCTTTTAATTCATGTTCAGTCCATTGAAAAGCATGGCTAGAGGGCCCAGGTATGCATCATATATCGCCACGCCACCGTCTACACAATGAAGTCCGTCTGCTGTAGTCACCGGACGTCAATACACGGGTGCTTGAACGCAGAGTCTGAAGGTGGCTACAGCTGCGCCATTTTCCGAATGCCGCCTGCTACCAATGCAGCAATGTTAGCTTGGGCTTCAAGCTAGGCGGAAAAACATACCGTGTGGTGTGCAGGGTCCGATCCTGCATCAAGCCTCATCGAAACCACCAAGAGTTCGCTAGGCAACCGCTTTACGCAGTCAGCATCGATCTCCGCACCTGCGCGTCCGACTTTGGCCAGCGTTTCGGCTTTCACGTTAGAAGACAACATGTGGAAGATGGTGTCTCCCATTGCTGGCTTCAGACGCTGCATTCGCGCATTCTTCCATAATGAAGACACTGCGCTGCCACGGTGACAGAGTAGGACTTTATTGTGCGGAAGGAGACAGAAGGGTGGCTAGATTGGACGCATACTTCGGCTCTTTTGCTGTGCTTTTCGGTGGATGGAACATGAACACAAAAAATTAGTTGTTTGTTCATGTTCACAAATCGTTTAAAATGTTTACAAATCTTAGAGTGCAGCTCTTGAGGAAGAGGAGGGGAGGGTATGCCCCTGCTCCTCCTCCCGCTAAATTTGTTAATGGGTCACATGACACAAAGTCATGTGATGTCATTTTCGCCGCTAGATTAATAATAATGCTTTCGAAGCCTTTATTCGAGTAAGATGTTATTGAAAGGGAACTAGCTCTGCCATTGAAGCTATCTGTGTTGTCGTGTTCCCGGCCCGAAATTCGCTGAGCCAGCGATCAGGGCAACACGCATTGTCCAACACAAGTTGCGGCTGTTTTTGTTGCTGAAAGCTGTCATACGGAGGCAACATTTTCTCTGTCGCCCATGTTGTCCTGCTGTTGCCGCGATGTGACAGGTTTGTCGGACAACACGAAGAGCGAGCAACAAGTTGCCCAAATGTTGGGGGTTAAGATATTCGCGTAGTTTGGGGCCATTCGCGAATATCTTCATGGGCAATCTAGAACCTAATTTTCTTTCAAGCTGCCCCCTCCAACCAATGTTTTATAAGAGATACATGGATGATATATTTATAATCTGGCCGCAGAAAGAGGAGACGCTGCTTAGCTTCATCGAAGTTTTTAATTTTGTGGACCCTTCTAATTAGTTTTTCTCAACTATTCCAAAACCGAAGTTAATTTTCTAGACGTCAGGGTAATAGTTGAGGGCACAAAACTGGTTGCTCGACTCTATCAAAAGCCGACTGACCGTCAAAAATACTTGCACTCCGACAGTGGCCACCCATGTCCTTGCAAAACCAGTATACATGGCTTGCACGTGACGTCATTCAAAAAGCGGTTCGATGACCACCAGAGAAGAGGGGAAGAAGGAGCTCCCCTCTTAGCAGGATCCTCTTTTATGCCTCCCGGATATGCACCGACGTCGCTATTTTCCTCCCAAAATTAACCCGTTACTCAAAGTTCTTACAAAAGCAGCTTCCCTCTCCTCCTCTTACATGGTGGTCAAAAGTATGCGATGTGACGTCAGTGCAAGCCATGCGTACCTAAGGCCCACAGGCCCAAACGACGACGGCTTAACGCCAACCAACTACGAGAAGTATTAAAAGAACAGAAGTACCCTGAACCAATTATAGACGATGTTCCGAGAGCAAGAAAAATCATTTTGTACGTGTCGCAGCGGGTTACGGAGAGCGTTGAGAGAGGGCTAAACTCGCCTACGAAAACTCGTAAGTCTCCCGGGTCCCGGCGGAACAGACACTGCCTATGTTTTATGTCCGCACCCACTTCTGTAGAATATGCAAGCTGCGTAAAGGTCCGCCACGAGGGGAGCTTACCAGAAAGATGCCTGTTTGAGCTGTGAAGGCCGTCGCGAAGCGTCTTCTGCTTCCCAGCTTGCCTCAGACAACGACGGACTGTCTTGCTCCTGGTACCGCCATCGCTTCGGAGGGTGGGCCTCTGGCAGAGGGAGTTGGGGAAAGATGTCGTATTCATACCCGTCCGACTCCCATCGCTTCCGGGCGTTCCGCGGTTCCCTGCCTAGCAGCCGGTCCCCCGGTTGGTATCGGCGTGAAGCCATCACTGTGCGACACGGCGTCACAACGTGACTACGTCAGCCGAGTGCAGCTGTAGCCTCCACCATGGTAAGGAAAAACTAGCGCCACGAGGCGCTAGTGGCAGAAAGGCGAACATACGTCTGGTCGGAGATTAAAATCGGTCTCGAAAGGCTGCCAGATGGCGCCACCACTGCCGTTGGCGTGCGCCCTCCGTCCTCCTTCCCCCTTCGACCCTCCCCCCCCCCCCCCCCCCCCCCCCCCGGGTTCTTTTTTTTTTTTTTTTTTTTTTTCTGGTTTGTTTGCTAGGTTGGTGCCGCGCCGACCGCTGTGAGCGGCCAGCACGGCACCGGTCTAGCAGACGAGCCGCGCGCGATATACTTCACAACAACTGCGCTTCGCTTGATATTACCAGTGCAATCAAACAGAAACAGCACGTTCATTGAAATGTATTTTTTTATTGAACCCCATTCAAATGAGTTGCGGTACTTCAAACACGCATCTACAAACTCCGTTGGCAGTCCACCGCCCTTAAAGGGGAACCAAGAACTGTATAGTAGGCAGTAAACACAGTAAAGTTGTCAAACATGTAAAACGAAATTAATTACTTTAATGTACAAACTAAGAGAATAGCACTTATCATCGAATTATCTAAATGATCTATAAACAACTCCCACAAACTAAACTTCTGAATACCCAAACAAACAAATCAACACCGAAATAAAGGAAAAGGCTTGCAGGTGAGCTGCATAAGAATAAACGATGAATAAACCATAAACAAACTCGCTAATAGGCAATGCAATTAAGAAAGAAAGAACTACTGTTTTGGAGTGTCTACATCTCTGACTGTAGGTGCTTTATCGGTACTCTATCCTAACATATAAACACGAAGCTGTCAAATTAACTGAAGATTGCTCTGACAGCAACTCACCCAGAGGAGCAAGTCCTTGCAGCAACGGATTCGTAACAAGAACGGTGGGGCACGCGTTTTTCCACAAACGAATTTTCCCACAACTTGCAAACACGGTAGCAGCGAAGTGCTCGCTGCACAAACGACGCTGGCGCAGCTTGCTCGTCGGCAAGCCGGGCAGGCTTCCAAAGTCCTGGCGATTTGCATACGCAATCCATTTCGATGCTCTGATGAAAAAGTCGAGTTTCGAACGCTGACAAAAAAAGAAATTGATATAGAAGTTCACCTGTCGTCTGTTGGAAAGCGGAAGAATGAGCACTCCGAGGTTACTTCGCCGCGCTGTAGACTCCGTAATACGCCGTCATGAGGCACGCAAAACACTCGGCAGAATCTCTGTCAAATTAGAGACGTACATCTCTAATTATTATAAGCGCGCAGCAGCGTCGCACCGCACTTTCGATTTTAGCACGCGCGGAACGGTTTGAAAGCTTGGAGTGACGAGCGAGCGCAAACAAAACAAAAAAGACAAAAACGGTCGTTTCCCTTCGCTCTTACTGATTGGTCGGAAGAGCCCAGAGTGCTTCGCTTTCGGTAGCGAAGATCATATACACGTCGCCTGCGCTGAAAATCATAGCGGCGAATATGAGCATAACAGTTTGGTCGGAGTTGGCTGGGTAGACCTACGAATCTGCTCTTTGGATGGACGTACAAGAGAGAAGCCAGCGACGCGGCGCCCCTATCGGCCCAACCGGGAACTCCGGAGCTGCATTCGGATGACTACGTCAACTACGTTACAGTGGCTACGTCAACTACGTCTGCCACAATCGGCGAAAATCCCGCCAGACACCTGGATTTTGGATTGGATTGGTCCGTTAGTGACATTTGAAGCGAATTAGTGTGCCTAGATTTTAGAGTAGTTCTAAGCGCTTTATGGTGTCACGTGGGTTATGGGACGCGTTTGAGATACGAGTTGTGCGAGCTGCTAGCTGACAAAAGCAAATATTGACAAAGGTGTTAATTGTCTGCAAACGCCTTTGCCTCTCCACTTGTTTCTCTCCTCGCCAAGCAAAAATGCAATGCATGCGCACTTGAGGCGTTCGTCATTAAACTGCAAATACTCTCCATGGTTTGAGTTGCTCTCTCTCTTTGAGAGCGGCTCTCTCAGGAGAAACTTGTAGCAGAAGTTGTGAGTTGACATTGTAAATATTTACCGAACACTTGTTTTAATAATAAAAAAAAATGTTCAAAGTTTTAGGCGGAGGCTAAAACTTTTGTTTGATTTAGGAAAGTAGAATAAGTGAGATGAACAAGAATTGCGGAAACGCAACGCTGATGCACATTTATCAAATCAATCCAATCCGTCTCTAGCCACCCTACTTGACTGTCGCCCGCCTTCTGTGGTGGTCACTGGTCGTCAGTTGTCCTAAGCATTGTGTACTGACGGTTCGTAAAGAAGAGCTGGCGCAGTGGCGCAGTTCCGTCGCTGGTACGACCGTGCGGCCAGGTGAGACTGACGCGCCACATTTTCTAAACTGTTACGACAGTTGGCTTAAACGGGGAACATAGCTGTCTAGAGTACCGTCCGACGGCACTTTTGCAGTGCGTTCAAGTGCCGCCCGACGGTACTCCACTCACGCATTCAAGTGCCGTCCGAAAGTCTTATATAAAACGAGTTCTCAAAACGAGTTTTTCGAAGCGGAGTCTAGCCTAGTCCTTGGATGCTCGAGTAGCGGTCCTCCAGCTCGACTTCGAGAAGACATTCGACTGTGTAGCGCACGAAATTCTCTTTGCGATTTTGAACCATGAGAATGTGGGGGCAAGTAATTCGCGGGGGCGTGGCTCTGGCTTTCCGAAATTGTACTACAAGGCTGATTGTAAACAAGTGTCTGGGGGCCCCCATTAAAGTACACCGTTCGGTGCGCCAGGGCTGCCCCCTCAGTCCTCTTTTGTACAGTATTTATATCGTTATGTTTAAGGATACAGTATTGGGGGGGGGGGGGGGGGATTACGAATTTTCAACTGGGTTGCTCAGAAGTTAGGCTTTTGGCCTACGCCGGCGACATTGCTGTTTTTTGCACCAACAAAGAAAGTGTCCAACGAGTAGTGAGGGGAATTAAGGAGTATTCTGCAACCACGGGGAGTTATGTAAACTGGGACAAAAGTATTGGGTTTTGGCACGGGGAATGGACTTCGAGACCGAGTTTTTTTGCAAATGTTAGATGGTAAACAACCCCCGTCAAGTACTTGGAAGTACCGCTAGAATGCTATAAGAGCATCCTAGCGGTACTCCCAAGCGGTACTCCATTGCAATGCGCAAGAAATGAAATCTCAACTGGAACAATGGAAAGGACAGCATCTCTCGATATTTGCCAGAGCGACGGCGTGTAATTTATTTTTAGTATAAACAATATGGTATGTGATGCAGGTGCTGTATTGCACACGACTTAACATTCAAAAACTTCATAGTGTTTGCTCTTATTTGGGGGTCATCCTGGGAAAGGTGCGCGAGGGACAATTTGTTTAGGCAAGTCCGGTACGGGGGACTCGAATTGTCCCACCTGTTTCTCAGTCAGGTAGTAAATAGATTTTTGTTTTTTCGGGACACTTCCGACTCTTTTCTAAGAACTGTGTGTCAGCTGAGGTTGGCGCGGGCGCTGCCTCAGCTGATAGTGTCGTCCAGAGTGTATACCCGGTCATGTTCGGTTATTTCAGAGAAATTGTAAGCTCTTTTCGGTTCTTGCAGACACGTTTTTCTATGGAATATTTAAGTACCGTTACACATAAAAAGCTATATAAAGATTTAAGAAGCAGCGTATTTTCTGTACCGAGGTACAGATCCATATACTGTGAAGGCCCAGGGCAGAATGTTTTGAAAAGAGTGAAGAGGATGCGAGTTAAGCCGGGGTTTAAGACTTTGTTTTTTAAACTTCATACCGGAACGTTATCAGTCAGAACATATTTAGAAAGAATAGACAGTTTTGTCCCTTGGGGAACAAACTGTTACACTTTTAAAGTCCCCGAGACTATTGAACATGTTTTTTTACATTGTTGGGAGGGGGTATTCTTCTGGAATGTGCTCCAAAGAACCCTACACAAAGATTTTCCTTTAGACCAACACGGTATTAGATTTTGGGCAATAGATAATGAAGGAGGGGTGCCATTTGATTTGCTAATGCTTCTGGGCCTCCACAGTCTAGGGCTCTCCCGCCCCACGAGGCTCCATAACGATGCCGATGCTAGACCGGCCAAGATATATTTTCGCCAAAATGTTGTGGCGTACGTAGAATATTTAAAAACAGAAGCTGATGTACCGGATTGGGTATCCAGAATCGAACCGTAAGAAACGTTGAGACTTTTGATGTGACGTCAACCATCAAAGGGATGATTGTTTCATACTTCCTTTTCATTTGTATATGATTGACATGCTACCATGTGTGTGTAATGTAAATATGTGTGTGTGTGTGTGTTTTCGGTTTAAATAATCGGGTAATAAAGAAAAAGAGTGTAGCCTAGTGGTAAGATGTCCGTTTCATAAGCAAGCGATCCCGGGTTCGATCCCCAGTGCGGCTTACTTTTTCGTTTTTGTTTTCTGAAACATTTTATTTTGCCGACGCATTTGGCGATGTTTACGTTAATTTTTTTTTGATTAATACAGGAAAAAACGAATGTCGTCGCCGAAATTTCGCTGAACGAAATGGTATGCGACTTGGTTTCCGGAGGTGCATGGGGTACGGCGGTGCTTGGTTTGCCGGCTGTTCGCCGCGAAGCGGCGTGTACGACGGGGCCAATGGGTTAATACCTTTGTAATTAGCAGCCGCATACCGTCGCTGCGAAGTGGCGTAAATGCAGGCGGGGGCCTGTGTTAACGAGCTCCCCAGTGATACACGCGCTGTACGACTCTCTTTCGGACGGCACTTGTAGGCGCGAGTGGAGTGCCGTCGGACGGCACTGTAGACACAGCTAACGAAAAAAAACACACAAGAGGACGAAACAAACGACTGTCGTTTGTTTCATACTTTTGTTTCGTCCATAGTAACCCCGAGACGCAGGAAAAAAAAAAACAGTACAACGAAGTCTCTATTATGAATATAGATATCGTTCACCAGCTTGCCTGTG